GTAATCACATAGTTTGAATGGCTTAGTAAGACCATAAGTCAATCATCATGTCTACCATGGATGAATTTGATTCTAATTAACAAATCTTACCATAAGATTCAATAATAAATTTTTTTTAAAAAGTTGTTTACAACAGAGCTGACAAAGGCCAAGTATGTCCATGATAACAACCAATGATTTTCACATGTGGAAAGAAATAAAAAATGTTGTTTACTAATTCTGAATCAAGGTCAGGAACTAGGTCAGCTAAAAATACAATGTAGCAATACTGGTTATTTACTGAACTGAACTGAATTTTCCGAAAAAAAAATTAAAATCCAGTGAATAAAGTTTTCATTAAAATAATATGTAATGAAACAAAAATAAAAACCAAGAAATTCAAAACTAACACACAAGTATATTATATTACATATACATAACAGTTGTAATATGAAATGTTTACCTTCTATAAGATGCACATATATTGCTATGGAATTCTTCAGAATGAAAAGTTTGAAAGAAAACTCATTTCACTTGGTTGCCTTGCTATCTTTGATCACGTGTGAATAAGTATGCTAGTTAATGACAGCTTAATTATATTATGGACTCAATAATATTTATTTACAGTGTTTGACCAATCATTTTAAATAAAAAACCAAAGACATTATGACCAGGTAGGGTTAGGGTTAGAGTAGAATTTGAATTCCTTTTAAGTTTCTTTCATTCCACTACCTTTATTTGATTAGATACAAATGATGTAATTAAATGATAATTGAAGCAGGTCTGCATTTAATTCAATGCAAAAATGCAGCAAACACTTATGCAAGTCAGATTTTAAAATCTGGTTGGTACCTAATTAGGATCTCACAGAAACTTTTTCAGATATAGCTGTTATGGTAGGTAGACTTATTTAAGGTATTAATATATGTGACATTGAATTTATGATGATTACACTTAAACTAAACAAAAGAACATAACTAAAAAGTGAATTCCACTTGACAAAAATTATTTAATTGGCATTTATTTATTAAAGTGCCACCTCAAGCACTCATTAGTGACATTTTCATTGATCAAATTTTTTTGAATATTGATATTTATGATATACAATGAATGCTGTTTGAAAAGAAAATGTAACCAAATATATGTCTTCTTGTTAAAAGATGAAAATATCATAATAAAGTTGATTTCAATTTTTGACAACTAATAATAATAATAATAATAATAATAATAATAATAATAATAATAATGAGGACTTTATATAGCACCTAATCTTTAGAACCTCTAAGTGCTTCGTAACATTTAACAACACTTAAAAAGAATAAAAGACATATAATGATGTGATTACAAAATTAAAAACAAACACCACAAATTGGAAACAGACCAAACACATGCTTTAATTTTTTAAGGTAAGGATACATTATAAGGATACATTATTAGGTCTTTATGATTGTTCTTGCAGTTGATTATAAGTAAGTTTGTGAGTTATCAATGTACAGGTGATGGAGGTAGTGGTGTACATATTGTTCAGTGGTTGATAAAACTTCATATTCATTCAAATAAGTATCTATGATGGTGTTACATGATGGTGTTACATGATTCTGAGAAATGCCATTTGAATACCATGATGCTATTACGTAACATACTGATATCATATGCAAGTCAATGATGTGGTGACCATGTGACATGAAGAAATATCACATATCACATGACATTCTTCTATCCAATCAAAAGCAATTGCTTGATAAGATATATCACATGACATTCTTCCATCCAATTAAAAGCAATTGTTTGATAAGATATTAAAACTGGTATCAAGACAAGTATGAAAGGGAAGATAAACAATATACCTTAATGTATTTTACATGGCAATCATATGTATGATGTAAATGACAATGATTAATGTATTTTACATGGCAATCATATGTATGATGTAAATGACAATGATTAATGTATTCTACATGGCAATCATATGTATGATGTAAATGACAATGATTAATGTATTCTACATGGCAATCATATGTATGATGTAAATGACAATGATTTTCATTTGAAAAGAGAAGAATGACTGTGGAAAGAAAGTGCTAAGAGTAAAAAGGAGAAATGATCACATCTGTGATCAAACCTTTTGTGATAAAAGTGTGATAAAGGCAGGTGGGGGAAGCATTTTTGTATAATGCTAATTGGAAAGCAGAAAACTGCTGCATGTCATCAATGAAATTATGTGTACATGAGTAAATATGAATACATTTATTGACCATAAGATATAATATAATTAGCATAATTGAACATTTAAGACACAGTCATATAATAATGTGAACCATGAATGCCAAAATAATCTCAACCAACAGCATGCTGAGGCATGAATAAGTATCATACATGCATGCAAGTTTTCAAATTTTCCTCAAGATGCAATGAAGCTCAAATGACCTGAATTTTTAATCTGAGCACATCAAATAATGTGTACACAAAACTGCACTGAGCTAAATGGCAACTGTTGTGCCTGTTTACAGCTAAATGGCAACTGTTGTGCCTGTTTACAGCTAAATAGCAACTGTTGTGCCTGTTTACAGCTAAATGGGAACTGTTGTGCCTGTTTACAGCTAAATAGCAACTGTTGTGCCTGTTTACAGCTAAATGGCAACTGTTGTGCCTGTTTACAGCTAAATGGCAACTGTTGTGCCTGTTTACAGCTAAATGGCAACTGTTGTGCCTGTTTACAGCTAAATGACAATTGTTGTGCCTGTTTACAGCTAAATGACAACTGTTGTGCCTGTTTACAGCTAAATGACAACTGTTGTGCCTGTTTACAGCTAAATGACAACTGTTGTGCCTGTTTACAGCTAAATGACAACTGTTGTGCCTGTTTACAGCTAAATGGCAACTGTTGTGCCTGTTTACAGCTAAATGGCAACTGTTGTGCCTGTTTACAGCTACATGGCAACTGTTGTGCCTGTTTACAGCTAAATGGCAACTGTTGTGCCTGTTTACAGCTAAATGACAACTGTTGTGCAAGTTTACAACTAAATGGCAACTGTTGTGCCTGTTTATGGCTAAATGACAACTGTTGTGCCTGTTTACAGCTAAATGGCAACTGTTGTGCCTGTTTACAACTAAATGGCAACTGTTGTGCCTGTTTACAGCTAAATGGCAACTGTTGTGCCTGTTTACAACTAAATGGCAACTGTTGTGCCTGTTTATGGCTAAATAGCAACTGTTGTGCCTGTTCATGGCTTACAATCAAAAAGTCTTCTATATATTGCAGTAATAGAGTGTGTTATATAGTCTGTTAAGTATCTGTCGATATGAATTGTGTCGAAATACATTAGATAAATACCAAAGTAATAACAAAATACATGACATTTTCCATTTAATATCTTGCAATGGTATTGGAAAACAAGTTTAGATTATATTTCCCTGGTCACTTTTAGTAAATATACTTACATGTTATGTGTAGGAAAAGAACTATAAATACAAAAAACTGTGTTCAGGATTCCTATTTTGAAAAGTATTAAATAACACTTTATTAAAATTTTAGTTTATGCAAAACTTGATAATCTTGAGTTATTCTAGGTACATATATTGCTGGTTGTGCAATGTGGTTTCTCTGATAATGACATAGGATATAATGTCAATTATAAGGCTTAGTCTGTGGCTAACAAAGGGATAGGGGTGTTGTACATGTACAATGAAATTGAGAGGCAGAAAGAGAATTAGGCAGTCGATTATTATTAGCCTCTTACTTGCTGTATACACTCTTATACGGGGATCACTGCCTAGCATAGACTTGGTTAAGATGGGATCGGCCCAGAATACATTAGCATGCTGGGATCAGCCTAGCAGGTAGTCTATTTAAGCTGGGATAAGCCCAGAATATTTCTGAATGCTGGGATCAGACTAGCACCAATTCTACTTGAGCTGGGATAAGCCCAGAATACACTTGAATGCTGGGATCAGTATAGCGACAATTGGGAACTAGTCTTTATACATTTCAATACTAGCCCATGAGTAGCCCCCACTGAGAGAGCCAAATAATGTTTAAATATTTTAATTAAGTATGGATGTTATATTATTTATGAGCTTGATGTTATATAATATGGTAATAATGAAAAGTGAGAAAAAGGGGGAGAGTGAGAGATAAATGTATCCTATATTTCTTACAATGCCTGTATTAAATCTTTTCTCATACAATTCAGTATTATTTTGTTGTGCATAAATGCTAATTTACATGTTGTTATAAGCCTGAACTAGTTTACTTTAACATTACCATATTCTTTTGTTTTGGTTGTCAATGAATCCAAATGTTAGAATTATTGAGTCAAAATAAAGCCATGCTTTTAATGATAGTGACTGAGTTGAGAAGACAAGATCCTTGTGTTTTTCATTCCAGTTTATAAATCTGACTCTTTTAATGTAGACACAAATGTGTGATATTAACCCAGGCCACAAGTCTCAGCAGAGTTGAAAATGACTAGTGTCCAAATTGAAAAATGCGACCAGTCAAGATGAGAAATAAGCATCCTTTGTTTTTCAGCATTTACTATCAATAACACTGGTACCTTGAGATCTAAGGTCCTGGACACATTCTTTTAGAGTGATACTATCATTTTAAACCATATCTTTTCACCTATGTGATATGCTTACATCATTAACACATATGGCTTAGTGATACCTGTATTCATGTCAATGCTAGGTAAGGGACATAGTACTGATGACCATGCAGGAAATGATAAAAGCTGGCATTATTTTCCTTGCCATATATATATGGAGAGAGAGAGAGAGTATGTGTGATTGGGATTTTTAATATAGCTTTAACAATTTTTCAGACATATCACACAATGATGTCTGCAATGTGTCAGTTTATAGTCATGTCTATCAATGAGGCTTCATGCCACAGGCATGTAGCATGATGTACCACCTAGTCACATTGTCTTGAAATCAGGCTGACCAGTACTAACACTAACCTCATAATGCTGAGTGCCAAGTGAGATGGCTGTTAGTACCATTTTTGTAAGTCTTTGGTATGACTCAGCTGGGTATCGAACCCATGACCTCCCACATCCGAGGCAGATGCTCTAACCACTAGGCCACTGGAGCAGTCAGGAGAGAGAAAGAGAGAGTCGAGATAGGGATGAGAACATCACATGCATGAATATACAATGTATTTTATGAACAGTGAAATGCAAGTCATGGAGGGAAAAAAAACCTTAAAACACTCCACTGTAATGTGCTCTTTTAAAATCAAGTGATCTGTTTTGAAGTTAAGAACTTCTTTTTAAAATAAGTTTGTCCTTTTGAAAATCAAGCAGTCCTTTTTTTGATTGTTGTTGTTGGGCTTAACACCATTTTTCAGGACACGATAGGCTATTCATGGTGGCCAGTATTATTGGTAGAGAAAGAAACTGGGAAATCACCGGAAAGAACCATGACCCACAAGAAGCTACTGGCAAGCTTCTCACATATCCACATTCGCTGTATCTTAGACTTAAACATTTTTGAAAATCAAGATCTGCATAAAAATGGGGAGATCAAAATATTTTCATTGAATCCCCTTTATTGAACAACATGCTTTTCATCAAGCTACTTAAAAAATACAAACTTATATTTGATAATTCAATAATAACTTTCAACCAAATCAGTCAGCCTTATTCTGTTAAACAGAGAATTAAATTTAAAAACACATACTGGATGGCTCTATAACTTACAAGTTTTTTTTGAAACCAGAACAAAAAAAATATTTTCAATGTATTGAAAAGCAGACGCAAAGACATAATCATACTTTGGAATATTCTATATCTGGTGATGCTGTGTTGTGAGATGTATGAATGATATGGAGGCATCTGAGGATATCCAAATGTTTTGCTTCATACTGAGGACAGTCTATGTTCACTGTGGCACCAAGTATACTAAAGCTAAGCACAGTATTCAAGGGAAATATTTAATACATAAAATTATGCACAATAGACTTTCCTTTTAAGTTTGACTATAATATAAGAAATAGTGACTAAAGTAATCAAATTCATATATATATATATATATATATATATATGTATATATATATATATATATATATATATATAGATATAGATATATATATATAGATATATATAGATATAGATATATATATATATATATAGATATATAGATATAGATATATATATATATATATATATATATATATATATATATATTCTTAAGAAAATTAAAGCTCAATGTTTTCCACCACTTTTAAATAAAAACAGTTTTTGAAAAATCAATTCTCATTAACAACTGATTTTAGGATTTAATTTTCATAACTTTTTCAAAGAAACATATGTTGCCATATCAACAGTAATTTCTACCCACCGATGGAGTTGGGCATCCATTTATAGCAGTTGACACTGAGGAACACTTCAACAGATCGAAGTACATCAAGTTGGGTTTACCGCTGAAATGAAAGGAACAAAATAAAACTGTCAGTTTACATTTATATATATATATATATATATATATATATATATATATATATATATATATAATTAGCATGATGTTTATATTACGTTAAATGATAATAGTTTTTGCTCCAAATGGGAATAAGAACCCAAACTGCCACATTGCAGACATTGTAGCGATCTGATAAAAAGTGTTAACGCTATGTTAAAAATCCTAAACACCTACCAAAGGAAATTGTGCTATCAACCTGTATAGAAGCACAATATATGTGTGTGTGTGTGTGTGTGTGTGTGTGTGCAAGTGTCAATATAGTTATTATAGAAGATCTGAAAGAAAATACAATTCTTAAGAAGAGAAACTGAATGAAAAAACTATCCACCAGTCTATAATAAATCAATGGTCATCAAAGAGAGTGTAAATGGTATACTTTAATGCCTTTAAGCATACTACACCTTGTCAGTGTTTTTGCTACATCCATTAATCATTAAAACAGTGATCAGTACATCCATCAATAATTAAAGCAGTGATTGGTACATAAATTTATCATTAAAGCACTGATCAGTACAGCCATTAATCATTAAAGCAGTGATTAGTACATCCATTAATCATTAAAGCAGTGATCAGTACATCCATTAATCATTAAATCATTGATTGGTACATCCATTAATAATTAAAGCAGTGATCAGTACATCTGTTAATCATTAAATCAGTGATTGGTACATACATTAATCATTAAATCAGTGATCAGTACATCCATTAATCATTAAAGCAGTGATCAGTACATCCATTAATCATTAAAGCAGTGATCAGTACATCCATTAATCATTAAAGCAGTGATCAGTACATCCATTAATCATTAAATCATTGATTGGTACATCCATTAATAATTAAAGCAGTGATCAGTACATCTGTTAATCATTAAATCAGTGATTGGTACATACATTAATCATTAAATCAGTGATTGGTACATCCATTAATAATTAAAGCAGTGATCAGCACATCTGTTAATCATTAAATCAGTGATTGGTACATCCATTAAATATTAAAGCAGTAATTGGCAAATCCATCAATCATTAAATCAGTGATTGTTACATCCATTAATCATTAAATCAGTGATTGGTAAATCCATTAAATATTAAAGCAGAAATTGGAAAATCCATTAATCATTAAATCAGTGATTGGTACATCCATTAATCATTAAATCAGTGATTGTTACATCCATTAATCATTAAATCAGTGATTGGTACATCCATTAATTATTAAATCAGTGATTGAATCATTAAAGCAGTGATTGATAAATCCATCAATCATTAGAACAGTGATTGTTACATCCATTAATCATTAAATCAGTGATTGGTAAATCCATTAAATATTAAAGCAGAAATTGGAAAATCCATTAATCATTAAATCAGTGATTGGTACATCCATTAATCATTAAATCAGTGATTGGTACATCCATTAATTATTAAATCAGTGATTGGTACATCGATGAATCATTAAAGCAGTGATTGATAAATCCATCAATCATTAGAACAGTGATCGGTACTGGCATTAATTATTAAATCAGTGATTGGTACATCCATTAATTATTATAACAGTGATTGGTACATCTATTAATTATTAAATCAGTGATTGGTACATCCATTAATTATTAAATCAGTGATTGGTACATCCAATGAACATTAAATCACTGACAAGCACAGCATGGAATGTGTTAAATCATCATCTAGGATAAAAAATAACATTCAACTAAAAATTTATTAAACTTTATACAAGCTGCATATGGAGAATTTCATGACATTGTAAAAAATATAATATTTCTTTAATTACATGTATATACAAATTAAGCAAAGGCAAAGATAAAATAAATTTAAATCACCCAGCAAATGATATTTAAAGATTTTATGTTTGATTCAGTATAAATATTAAGAATATTAACCTCCCTCCCCCTTCCATAACTTTTTATAATGAAAAATTAATCACATTAAAAAGTTATATGTTTCTGCTATTCCTGCAAATGAGGTTTATCAGAAAATATCTGAAATGACATTGTAATTGAAATCTTATACATTTGACCTTTGACCTTTTCTAAGGGACCCTAGGTAGGTGTCAATAATGGCAAACAGTTCTCAAAGATGGTCACCATTTGGGGAGAACATAGCTACAAAGTTTGATGAATTTTTATCCAGCGGTTCAGCAGATGTGGTAAATGACGGTTCAGCAGATGTGGTAAATGACGGTTCAGCAGATGTGGTAAATGACGGTTCAGCAGATGTGGTAAATGACGGTTCAGCAGATGTGGTAAATGACGGTTCAGCAGATGTGATAAATGACGGTTCAGCAGATGTGGTAAATGACGGTTCAGCAGATGTGGTAAATGAATGGATGGATCAATGGACAGAGTTTGACAATATCACCAAAACTTTTGTAAAAATAAAAAGCAGGGATAAAATTTATGGGAAAATGCTTCAGCTACTTCTGCTGCTACTACTGTCACTACCATTACTACTACAACTACCATTAATATTAGTAAGATCTGCCTTTTATTGAGCCCTCTTTTATTTAGCAAGTAGCAAAAAACTTTGAGCTTAATCTAAAATCTTGAATATTAATCTCTAAGGCAATGGCTGGCTGTATATACAAAATCCAAATAAATGTCATACACATTACATCAAAGCACCATAGCGATATTCCTACCTTCATTCTCTCTACTCTACAGTGCATGTTTTACATGCAAACAACTTCATCTTATATATGTCAATCTCTCAAAAGTACATAATAACTGGTGAGCGCCCGCTTACAGCCACTGTACAATTGTGGCTTGATGACTGAGAAGATTCATTGTCTTAAGGCCATTTAACATCCCTTCATATTGACGGGGACTGAGTGGTTCCAAATGCCCACGTTTGTCATACCTTCATACTGATGGGGACTGAGTGGTTCCAAATGCTATGTGAGTCATTCCTGAGCTGCCTGCCTCTGAACTTCCTCCAAAGCAACAGAGCACGGAACAGGATTGTCCGGAAAGAGAGGGTATGATACGCTAGGATCAGCATGGATCACATCCATGCAATATAGCCGAACATGTCAAAGAATTGACCATAGTATGCTAAACAAGTCTAGTCATTGAAATAAGCAATCTTGTCCATGGCATCCCAACTGTCGCTATTGCTGGAGGTCTGGAATGACATTCCAAACCAGCTCTGACAGGCATGAAGCAAATTTTTCCACCCTAACAAGCACATTTATGAACAGCTACTACATTCTTGTCAAGTTCCAGGAGATTGAAGGCATTTGTCACTGTAAGTGTTTTGATCTCCTCAATAAAATCTACTGATTCTTTAGAGCTGTGGCAAGGTTGGGGGTATTCTTAAGTAGCCAACACCCCAAATGAATAAATTGTCCTTGATGGCAGTTTGAAAGCTAACTTCAGTCCATTCCATGGTCAGACCTCAGTCGGATGTGAAGGATGGTGGATCTGAAGGTGTACCGCCACACGTACAGTGCATTGAGACTAAATTAGGTCTACCTGCAGCATTAGGTAAGACATACCAGGTGGAATGAAGATTCAATTCCCTCCCAGTAAAATATCACTCTCTCTCTCTCACTTGTAAACAAGCAGTGAAGATACGGAAGTCTAGCACTACCGGCAAACCTGGCTGGTTTGCC